TAACCATTAATCCCTGATCATCATTTATATGTCCCTGGATAAAATCTCGTAGAAAACTCCACGAAATAACCTTACGTTCACCTTTTATCTTGACACATGCATCGACTTGAAGCAAGCTAAGTCCAAGCATTTTCACTAGTTTTTTACGATAGCCCACCTTATTGGACTAATAAATCTTGTCTAAGTTTGGTAGATCAAAGCGAAGTAGGATCATATACTCTTCAATTATGGGTACCATATCTGTTTCATTGAAAACGAAACACCTATAAGAAGGATCCCAAAACTAAATGATGGCTTTAATCAAATTATTATCCATTTTTACCTGAAGCAATGAAGCTATGTCTCCATATCTATTCTCAAATGCTTCATGTCTTATTTTACTCATGCATCCCCAAACACTGCTTAAGTTAGCTAAATCATTTTGCTGTAGCTCGAGATGAACTTTCTCAGGTAATGATGAAATAAAACCCTCAAGCAAGCAATTTTTTTATTCTCTTTGACCCTCCTCTAACTTGATTTTTAATTGATGAGTAGACTTATAATGGACTGATGTAGACTTTGATTACATTTAGCTTTCCATGGATGTAAGTGGAAGGTTTGATTTATCGATAATTGATATGTGACAAATATTTCCTATATGCAAATGATGGTGTTAGACATGATCATGAAAATGATGGATAGAATGATATGATATGATAATGTTAAAACATGGAGTGAGATGATATGAAAATGATGCATAGAATGAAATGACATGGAGATGGTGTAGATATGCAAAATCAAGCAAAATGGTTAGATAACATATTGTTCCTTCTTGTGTCTTAATTTTGGGTTATATCTATTAATGGGTAGGAAAGGCTCTATCTTAGGTTGATTTCTTAGGGGTGAACTATATGCAGGGTTTAAAAGATTTTGGCCACTAAAGGTTCTCAAATTATTCCTTACATCATCGTCCATTATAGACTAGTAAGGCATTCTAATTCTCACCCATCACAGGCTACCAATAGAAATGATTCAATTTGAATGAGAGTATTTCGCTAGCCATTACGGAGATTATCATCTCACGAAAGCGTAGGTACTTTAGTCCCTCCTAAAAGGGACGAAGCTCGGGCATAGATCTCATGTAATGCAAATGCATGTGATAATGTGTGTGAAGGAACATATGGTTATCGACCCCATAAATCAAATAAGAAACAAAAAAAGAAAAACGTTAGTAAACAAATAACTTAAAACCATTAGTTCAAAGGTTAGGATAAATTCAAAAATTATGGCTTGACTTTCTAGCGTCCCCAGTGGAGTCGCTAAACTGTCATAACATATAGATCTATGAATTTATAGCTAGATTTATCAAATGAATAGAGTCGTCATAAATCTTTTTTACTTAGTGTAATTGGTCACCTGAAGAATCTATCATCTTAAGGAGTTCCTAAGCTTGGCTAAGGGTCCTTAAAAGAATAAGTTAGGGTCTACTAATCAGAATAGGGTTCGAAAGTTTGGTTACATGTGAAAAAGGTTATAGCACCCCCACATGCCCATCTGAAGGATGGTATGATATTATTTTGAATTTATCCTATGGTCATGAGTCAAATGGTTTCAAATTTTTATGTTGAAATATTAGAAATAATTTATAAGATTCTCTATCAATCTGGTAGAACTCTTAAAAAATACTTCCTCACTTCAAGACTATTCAAGAATCTCATTTGATTTTTTGAAGAGGCTCCGTCGTCGAAAAAATGTTTATTTATTATTTGTTATTATTATCATTTTTTGTTGAAAATAGATTTAATTATTCCCCCATTTGGGCTAAATTAGAAATATTTTCTCTTTTGAATTTCTAAAATTTTTACTATTTGGGCCTATTTAAAATTTTCTTTTTTTATTCTTTTTTTGGAAATAAAATAATATAACAATTATTTTTATTGAAATTTCATCTAAGTTATTCCGCCATTTGAGTCAAATTTAGAGAAAATTTCTAACCTAGAGATTTATTAGAAATTTACCATTAAATTTTTAAGAATCTCATCTGATAATATCATATATTTTAACCAACATTTTAGTTTGCAAAAAAGAATAAATACTTTTAATATTGAATTTCATATAAAATTATTTACCATTTGAATAAATTAAGTTTAAAATTCTTCACCTAAGATTCTAATATACCAATTTAATATTTTTAAATTCAATCTTTAAGTCATATAGTATTGTATATTAATCCACATTTTAATTATTTTTTTCATTTTTATTTTTTTTATGTTTGAAAAATAAATTGTAATTATTTTATGAAACTTATCAAGATTATTCAATCTTTGGATAATTTAAACAAATTCATACTAGATTTTGTAGAAATTTACCATTTGAAATTTATAAATTCATATTGGAAATTAATATTTATTCTCAAAATTTTTATTTTTATTTTTATTATTTTATTTTTTATTATTCTATTTAATAAAATAAGTAAATAAATAAAATAAACAAAGAATTAAATAAATGAATACACACGTAAATGAGTAAAAAGTACCTTTCAATATTATAAATAAAGCATTGCTACTTTAGTAATGTCAACAAGTGTCCCATCCATCTAAATGCAAATGGCTTTGCACAAGCCTCCCATGCAAAGCCAATAGTACCTACTTGCAAGAAGCATTCATTACTTTGGTCCAAATTAGATATTTCCTCCACGTGCTTCTCTTTAAAAATTATTATTTTTTTAAAGAAAGACAAGTCTTTGTTGAGGAATACCTACGAATTTCGAGTGTGTTTTCTTCAAGTCTGACTTTTGCTGTGGTACTGGAGCCTAAAGTTGTGGTTGATGGATGACAATATTTCTCAACTAATTGTGCTTGTAATGGTAGAGTGCTTAGGCAGTGCTATCAAAGCTTAGAGACTCGTGTGGTATTGATGATAATGGTGGCAGTAGATCTGTATTGATGGTGATTGTTCTCATGTAGCAGTGGAGATTGTAGCAATGAAGATGGTGATCCAGCAAAGATGGCGGTGGGATAAACGTGTTCTCTAGACTTTGTGTACCTCTTTTTTTTTTGTATTTCTTCTCTATCAGAACCCAATTTTTGGTTGAATGTTTAGCCGAAAACTGGAAACTTCCGAAAATTGAAAAAATTTAGTTGAAAAATTCAAGTTTGATCGAAAAGTTCGTTGAAATCAGAACCTTTTTCTTTTGCTTTTGTTTACTCTCTATTTTTTTTCTGTCTTTGCTCTGTGATTACTGGGTTTATTTATAGTAACAATCAGAAGAATTTTTTACTAATTTTGATTCCTCCATTTACACTTATCTTTTTAGAAATTGAACACAACTACAACTCTGCCAATGCCATTCCCAGTAAAATTTGCATAAAATTCAACCTATTATCTCCTGAAACTAATGATAAGTCCAAAAATAAAATAAATAAATAAATAAAAAATTGAAGATAAAACCAAAAACTATAAAATAAATAAATAAATAACGAATGGCCAATTGGGTCAAATAATCTGGACCTTGTTGAGCTAAGCTCAATTAATTTGAATTTAAGCCCAAACCTTGTTAGATCATGTCCAATAAATTCGGATCTAGACTAATTAAAATGTCTACAGATATTGATCCTACTTAAATGTGCATGTGTCACAGGTCGAGACTTAAGCTCCGAACCCATGCGGCTTTGGGACCCGGGCATTCACCCTTTCGACGTCCCGGATCAGCCTTCCCGTCATGGTTCACACCTTTGTGAGATATTGTCCGCTCTGGCCCCCCTGGCCTCACGATTTTATCCTACAAAAGGCGCCTCAAAAGGCGGAGATGGTGTGAACCTTTTTATACCACAATGACCCTTCTATTATGTTCGATGTAAGATTCAGGACTTTCCCTTAGGTCCGTGACATTCTCCCGCATTCAACCTCATGACGCCCTTGTCACGGAGGCTGACCACCCTACCTATCTCCCTTGAGGTGCTTGGCGTGGATCGAACGATTTAGGGCTGGCTCTGATACCACTTGTCATGGGTCGAGACTTAAGCTCCGAACCCGTGCGGCTCCGAGACCCGAGCATTCACCCTTTCGATGTCCCGGATCAGCCTTCCCGTCACGATTCACATCCTTATGAGGTATTATCCGCTCTGGTCTTCATGGTCTCACGATTTTATCATACAAAAGGTGTCTCATAAGGTGGAGATGGTGTGAACTTTTTTATACCTCAATGATCTTTTTATTATATTCGATATAAGATTCAAGACTTTTTCTTAGATCCGTGACACATGTACGTTGCAATAACTTAGATACGATAGTCATATCAGCTTACACTTTTTTCTTCACCAAATTCGAGTTTTGAGTCGCAAAGTAAAAGTAATAATGATATCACAAGAGAAGGAAAATCCTTCTAGATTGGCTAGATCAACGAAGGTTCAGTAGTTCACAATATTTGACCTCCCATTACATTGAATAATTTGACAAGACAAAGGTGATCAACCATAGATCATGGCTCCTTTTTCTTTCTTACTTCTTTTTGGCTTTATCTTTCCCTTCATACTGTTTTTCAGCAAAATTTTAGACTTGCAGGATTCGCTATAAAATATGTTTTTTTTATCAAATTTATATATAAATTTTATTAAAAATTTAAATTATATTATTTTTATACTTTTTTTATATCATTATTATATCGTATATAAAACAAAGAGATCTACTTGAAATTAAGTTTATCCTCTTATTTACCAATTTCAACCTTCAATGAAATTGAGTTTAATTATTTCTTATTCAAGTGCAAGTTTTAGTTACAAACTCATTAAGTAGGTTGGCACATTGAAATTGTTAGTTTTCTCTCGTGGAGAAAGAGCAGAGCAGTGAATAGTCATGTAAGTGTTGAGAAAAAGATATCTAAAAGTAAAGTTCTTTGCATTAACAATGTCTTTACATGAACTTTAGGAACAAAGAAGCTTCACTTAAAGTTGATCAACGCTTTGTAAATTATATATAAGACAATACCTTCACTTTATTTTGTTAATATTAGTTTATAAGGGCATGCACTATATATGTGATTAACAGCTGTTCCCAGCCCTGCATTAGTGATGGTTTTGCAATCATGATTCATGAATATCTTCCGATCCCTAAACAGAAGCATTCACTAACCAATTAAATAATATATGTAGCAAAAGCATTAAAGGAAAATTGATCAAATGCAGCATTAGAAAGAGGAAACAGTTAAAAGACTGTTAACATAAGCTTAATATTTTGATGTTATGCACACCAAATTATTATATGTTTAGCATTATGAAAATTTTAGAAAATATATGACAAGTTCAAACCCTTTTTACCAAACTTGATCAGAATATGGAAGATACAGACCTCTGATGACATCCCCAGTGTGATCAAGGAAGAAACAAACCCCAGAAAAAGTAGAAAACACTAACACGTATAACAAATTCATAGTTAAGAACAAGAAGAAGAAGAAGAGAAGAAGGGAAAGTGTCTCATGGATTCTGCTTCTGAGTATAGATATAGTCAATATGAGCAGCAACAGTTCTTCTCATCAAACACTCTTCTTGAACAACTCCTTCACAGCGATCTTCAACCGCATCATTATTCAGCTCTGTCTCTACACCCTATCAAAACCCCATATCATCAAATATAAAGTCTGAGAAAAAAAAAAAAAACAGAAAGGAAGATAAACAAAACTCAGTAAAATTTAACTAACCTCAGCTTGGATTTTTGCAGGAGAGTCGTGAGGGAAAGCTGGGCCAGAGCGGGCGGCAAAGGATAGAGTGGAAACGAGGAGGAGGGTTAGGACGAAAAGGTTAACAAGTTTAGCCATCTTTGCTTTACCAATTGGAGTGCAAAGGGAAAATAAAATAAAAAAAAAAGAAAATTAATGAAAGAGATGATTGAGGATTTATGGAAGAAGAGAGGCAGTGGTGGTGGCAAATATATAGAGAAGACAAGGCGTGTGAACTGAAGAGATGGGAAAGGAAGACTATTGAATTCTGATAAAAATAGCAGATAAATAGATAGAAATGAAAAACAAAAATGTTTTAAAATTGGTTTTTTGAAAAGGAGAAAAATGGGGAAGGTGGAATTAAAGTACACTGTAGGAATAAAATCGAAAATTCTACAGTTTTCAAATGTTTATATTTTGCCAAAGCTGATCTGTTTCGTTCTCCTATTCATAGAATAACTTAGGCTTCATCCGTTAGATTCCGTTTTCTATGGAAAGTTGTTTCTATAACAATGATTATCCGTCTGGATGATCAATTTGCAATGCAAAAATCAGCTTTTAGTGATAGTAGGTTTTGGGTCTACTGACCCAACGTCCACTATAATTTTCTTTTTTTACTTTTTTGCCCTTATAATTATATTAAAAAATATCAACGCTTACTAATTTAAATGATAAAAAATTTGATTTTTTTAAGTAAAATTTTAATTTTAATATTACGAATGAAAAATATAAATTTAAAAGAGTTTTTTTTTTTATGGGATTTAATTTAACTCGATTTTAAATTAATCAAAAATTAAGTGATTATCAACCACTAGAGTTAAAATAATTATATTAAAGAGTAAATAATATCTTTATAATTTAATTTATTTTTTAATTATTATTTAAAAATTATAAATAAATTTGTTAATTTATAATAAAAATATTATTATTTTATTAATTTTATTCTCTTATTAAGAAAATTATTATTTACCATAAAATAATTTAATAAAGTTTCTATTATTTATTAATTTTATAAATTTTAAATAATTTAAATTTTATATTATATATAAATTTTAATTTAATGTCATTAATAATTACTTTTCTTCTTATCATAATTTACTTTATCATTATTATTGTATTTTATTTAAATATATATATCTCATTATTAATTTTAATTTTATTATTATAATAATTTATCTCATTTTTTATTATTTTTAATTTTAGTAAAATCAAGAGAAAACGGAGAAAATTGGATGTGTCTGGATCTCAAAAAAAAGTACTATATGTGTACGGCTTGTGATTCATCCTACAAGGTATGAGATCTCCAAGGAAGGTACTTTGGATGGGGAGAGATTTGGCCTATTTTCTTGGTTGGCTGATCAGATGTCATTCGGGGTTTTTTAACTATTCTTCACAATTTAAATCGGATTAAATTGAATTAGATTTTTAGATAAAGTATAAATGTTTAAAATTTAAATCAAATTTTATTAGTTTTATTCAGTTCATTTAATCCATTTAAAATTTTTTTTTGCTTTTATATATTATTTTAATATATTTTTAATATATTTAAATAAAGTTAGATATAAAATAATTATTTTTATTTTATAAAAATTTAAAAAATATAAAAATTAATAAAAAAATATATTTTTTAAGTTCAATTTGATTTTTTTATACTTCTCAACTTAAAAATCTGATTTGACTTAATATATACATTTAGTATTGAATTTAATTTAAATCGAGCAAAAAAATTAATTCGAACTAAACAAGTATTATGATTTTAAATCGATTTTTTTATTTTTTTTATTTTTTTACTCTTAATTTTTTATGATTTTAAAGTTCATGAAACATAAAATCAAATATTTGTTTTTTTTATCAAAATAATTTTAGAATTTATATTTAATATATTGATAATGTATAAATCTTACACGCTATCATTGAATTAAAAGTTGTCACGTTATTAATAAACAAATTTGAAAGTTAAAAAGTTCTTAAAATAAATTAAAACCAAATTTAATTATGATTTTTAAAATTTGTTCATTAATGATGTAATGATTTGTGATTTAATAAAAATATGTAAAATTTATATACTACCAATAGAATCCCATTACTTTATCAGGTTTACACTTTACCCTATAGGATTGTTTTTCCTTGCGCCTAAGAGAGTAAAAGGCCAAACAAAATAAATTGTAAGAATATTAATGAAACACAATTTCTTAATTCTGAACCCCGAATTTTGTAATCTCTAATTATATTTATATAATTATAATTCGTTGTTTACATGTCAAAATTCAAATTTGAAATCTTTGATATATAATTTCGTTTGAAAAAAGATTGTTACGGGTATTTTAAATTTATAAGGTAAATTAATTTTTTTTCATTAATATTTTTAATTTTTGAATCGATTTAACATACGTAATGTCATATCAATTCAATTATGTCATTAATTTGCTTTATATACTCTTCATCTTTCTTTTTTATAAATAAGATCATCAATTTACCATCAATTTAATTTTTTTATATTTTTTTATTTTTTATTTCTCTTATTCCGACTTTTAATTTAAACATTGAAGTGTAAATGCAAAAAATTTCTCTTATTTTTGTCCTAATTGTTCTCTTTTTTTTCTTTTGATTTTAAAGAGTTGACTCTAAGCTTGAAATTAGAAACTAATCGTATTTTATTACCAAACATTAATATTGGCAACAAATTCCATTCGGTGCTAGTGTCCACACGAGCAGGCTTGAGAAACTCAAGACCTATATTTGCAAACTAGTGTTAGGGGTATTTTTAAGTTTATAGAATTTTTTTTTTTTTCAATATAAATTGTTAATGGATAATTAAAGATATTTTTAATTATTAAATCGATCTGATATATGTAATATCATGTTAATTTAATTATATCATTAATTTATTTTTTATATATTTTATTTTTTAAAAATAAAATTATTTATATATTATCAATTTAATTTAATTTTTTATATTTATATATTTTTTTATTTATCTTATTTCGATTTTTAATTTAAATGTTGGAGTACAAATATAAAAAATTTCTCTTATTTTTATCTTAATTGTTCCCTTTCTTTGCTTTTGATTTTAAAGATCTGTCTCCAAGCTCGAAACTCGAAACTAATGGAAATGTTATTTTATTACCAAACATTTCCATTCGGTGCTAGTGTCCACACGAGCAGGCTTGAGAAACTCAAGACCTATACTTGCAATTATACAAGCTAGCTAGTGCTGACTTTTTAAACTCAACTATAAATTTAGTTAAACTCTTTCATCGGTGGATGGAATGTTCTTCCGTAAGTTGGGTTGATAAATCAAACTCCTTTGACATGCATCACAATCTAGAAGACCCTAGAATTTACGACAACCTGAATACCTCCAACATATATTACGGCTTTTGATCTTCTCATAAATTATGTCACGGCATGTTAGTGGTCTGAAAAATCACCCGTTGCCTTGACGAAATTTGGCACATCAATAAGAGGCGTAATAACCGATCATGTTTTTGAATGACTTTTTTCATATGTTCATTCTAATGAGGTAGCTATTGAGTTTTGACTAATCTCGCTCTTTTCACAAGTAAAAAATCATTACATAAATATTCATAGAATTATTTTTAAAACAAGTTCACATTATTAGTGTATAAATCATTGCATAAATATTCATGGGATTTTCCCACCATGCAATAAATGTAAATTTCTAAAGCAAAATATTAAGGAAAAGTAGTCAAAGACGTAAGATCAATAAATTTTGATGTTTAATTTCACCCATTTTTATTCGTCCTAACCAACCAACAGAGCATTGCATGAATTAATTAGCTTTAGCTGCTGACGTTAATGTCGTTATGGATCCAAAGAGATTGGAGAAAAGGAAAATAAAGAAAAAAAAAAAAAGCAAGAAGAGAATAATCACATGATTTTGTGCCAATGGTGTTTGCAGCTCAACCGAAATCTGATACTTTATTTAGTCAAAAAATAATAATAATAATAACTTAAAGGCGATTCTGTTTGTACCCTTTCGGTAGCTAAAGGCTTGTCTTGGTTCAAGAGTCAAGACAAGCTGGATATAATATTCCTTGATTGAAATTCTAACTTAAGATTCTTTTCCTTCATCACATGATCAATCCCTGCTATTCTTCCTGTCTGTCACAAGGTTTTGTTTAATTGCTTAGTTATACAAATATCTGAAATTACAAAGTCAATTCAATAAAAATAAATAAACCTTGCTGTTTTTGTAAGTTTAATGAATTGCAACACATTTTCCCCCTGAGCTACTTAAAATTTCTAAGTAGGAGATCAATGAAAGGAAACCTCCTGAACTATTATGTTATCATAAGCATTACTGAATTAATTTATTTATTACTGAAAAAAAAATCTCATTACAAAATTAACAATAATGGCACCCATATTTCATGTCTAATTATACGCATCGTGCTCTCCATGAGGGACAAAAATTACAGACCAACATAAATAATCAATGATTTATAAATAAGGAGTTTCACATCATGAAAGATCGATTTCGTAAATTGATGAGTTGCATGGATCTTGTAATGCAATTGTGTCTTTCAAACAAGCAATTGTCGGTGTGGAAATAAAATTCATTCGTCTATTTAGGGCATTGTAGGGCAACTGCCACCTAAGAAAGGTGACAGGTCTATATCTTCCACGTGAGAAAAATTAATGTCCACTTACAAAAACAAGTCAGCAAAGCTTTTATAAAGCAGTTAATTATCAGCATGCAATAATTCAGAAAAATGCTGCAGGATTGTGGTTCGAACTGATGTTGAACATCACATCTAACATAGTCAAAATTCATAAAGAGGGACAATTAATGTGTACTATTCTTTGCAATATGAACATAGGGCCTCAAAGTGTATGTCAAAACTTTAGCTATATTTGATAATTCTTTTATTTGTATTTAACACATATAAAACATGAAAATTATTATGTTATAATTTCAGTTGATACATCAAACACAAAATATAATATTTTATTTTTATCAAATTCATATATAATTTTTATTAAAATTTTAAATCATGTCATTTTGATATCTTTTTTTATTTTGTTTATACAATTTGTTTAAAATTATCATGCTTTTAGTTTCTCTTTCGGCTTATGTTATTACTCCTTGATTGAAAAGTGATGAGGACAAATGATAGCAATAAAGATCTTCAAGAATCAAACAAAATTATATGTGGGGTTAATTTTGACTTGAAATTCTCGTTTTCTTGAGTCCCACCAACATTAATTTACATAAAATTCTAAACCTACTTTGTAGGACATTGTAGAATTAATGTTGAACTGAAATGCCTTACTCTTCCCTTCAAGTTTTTTGGAGCCTAGCATGCATGCAAAGCCGCATTGGCTTTTGTCGATGA